ATCATATCTGGTGGAGAAAGTGGCAGTCTCATTGATTGCTCCCCAAAGTCCACCTTTGGCTTCCACCTCAAGAATGCAACCAATGTCACACTGACTGGACTTACAATAAGGAAATGTGATTCTGCTGTCCCGAGCCACTTGTTGCAAAACCTTCAAAAACTGCCATACCATGACATGGTACCATTACCACCTGCAACTTCAGTTCTCGTTGAGGCATCCACAAATGTGTTTTTCATCAGATTTCACATAGAATATTCTCAGGTGCAGGCTCTGATGATAATTGGTTCTCCAACTGACGCGAAATATGTGGAACCCTTCTTTTCCCTGGACAAGGAGAACCCTCACCTGACAGTTACTGACTGCATCATCTCGCACAGTAGCAAAGGGTCTATGGTGATATATGGACCAACGTCCGTCCTGATTGAGAAGACTGTCATTGCTAACAGTGGCACTGGTATAGTGTCATTCACTGCGGACATCATGCTTAGAAACTTTCATGGTATTAACTGCACATCTCACCTGGAAGGAGGACATGTGATGGTGAAAGAGAGACTGACGATGAACCAAAGCTACACCTTCACATCAATGGCAGTAAAGTCCTTTTCTATGGCGACAATTCCCAACATGGGCTTACAGCTTATAGAGCACAGTTATTCATTTCAGAAAACTCGACGGTTGTGTTCACAAAGTTTAATCTCACTGGCTCTGCTCTGCACAGTATGGATTCCACTCTTCAAGTTAACAATTCTACTCTGACCTTCACAGATAACAGTGTGAGTGGTAGAGGGCATAATAATATTATCTCCCCTTATAACAAGATAAAAACTGAATCTTCTATTGTCATCATCAACAATTCAGTGACTAATGAAACCGGGCTGTTATTTTTCACTAACTCAACTATCGTTCTTAGTGCAGGGAGATTGCTTTTTGAGAACAATGAGTGTAAATATTCCTCATACTTAATGATGAACAACAACACCAACACAAAATTGGAGAAGGGATCATTTGTTAGCTTGGAACACAACAAGATATACAAGGAGTCATTCATTTTTTACAGTGAGAGTGCCTTGTTAGAAGTTTCTGAATCTTCTTTGGTCATTACAAACAACTCGGTGGCCAACGAAAGCAAGGGATTTGTTTACATCGACTCTTTCATCAATCTGAGGGCAAGTGAATTCCTCTTTGAAGAGAATGAATGTAAAAATTCCTCATCATTAATGGAATTCCTAGCAACATGCACCAAAGTGGAAATGGGATCGCTTGTAAACTTTTCCCAAAACCAGATCCACCGACATTCATACATGCTATTAAGCCACCAGGAAGGAATGTTGGAGATCAATGAATCTTCTCTTGTTGTCACAAACAATTCAGTGACAAGTAAAAGTTATTTGCTGCATTCCAACTACTCTACTACTGTTATAAATTCAGGAGTGTTGCTTTTCAAGGAGAATGTGTGTCAACATGCCACTATGATGGATTTTTTTCATGCAAAGATGAAATTGGAGAAACAATCAGTAGTTAACTTTGCACACAACAATGTTTCCAGAGAATCATGGATTCTTCAGAATCGGGGAGTGGATTTGAGTATTCATGAATCTTCTATGGTCTTCACCAATAACACTGTAACAGATGAAAGCGTTGTGTATTTTTGCCGCAACTCTACAGCTGTGATCAATGCAGGAGTTTTTCTGTTTAAGGAGAATGAATGTAACGGTGGAACTTTAATGGCAAACTTCAACGCTAGTATCAAATTTGAGAAGCGATCATTAGTTTCCTTTACACATAATTAAATGTACAATTTGTCAGCAATTTTTCGTAACAACAGAGTAAGTTTGGACATGACGGAATCCTCTCTTGTCATCACCAACAACTCTATGACAAGTGGAAGTGTTGGGTGTTTTTATTGGGGAACATACACCACAATGGAGAAGAAGTCAGTGTTTAATTTTTCGAATAACCACATACAGAGTGATTACACTTTTTATTACAAGGTTGGATCATGGACAATGTCATCAGATTCAAAGCTTGAGGTAGTGGATAATAATAGTAATGAATTACTTATCTTTGATTCCACAAAGGTTAATTTCACTGGTACAGTGAGAATAGCAAACAACAACAACAGTTTCTTTGGAGCTCAAAGTTTTATTTCATCAAAAGTGAGGTTCGGTAGTCTTGAGGTGGTGAGGAACATTGGAGGAGGGATCTACTCACTAAATAGTGAGATTTTCATCACTGACACAGCATTATTCTCAGATAATTATGCTTCCAATGGAGGGGCGTTGACTCTCATTTCTTCAGTCCTGCACATTTCTCCCAATGCCACTGTCGACTTAACCAGAAACCATGCCACTTTTCTAGGTGGTGCAATATTCATCTCCGAACCAAGAACGACTTTGGTAAATCATATTGAATCCAATAGAATGGATTTAGCTGCAATCTGCTCCATTCAAATAATTCCAGTGAATTCATCCGAGAGTTGCCAGTTTTTCTCCCTCACTTTCAACCAGAACAGGGCAGGTACAGCTGGCAACGCCATCTATGGTGGTCGCACATCCGCCTGCTTGCCATGTGGCGCAACACCGAAAGATTTTTGCTACAACTGCTCGATCCCTGATGCATCAGACCTCTACCGATACAATGGAGTAAATGACTCCTCGGATCTTTCCAGTTTCGCCTCTGATCCCACCAGAGTCTGCTTCTGTGAGAACGGCATTCCAGACTGTTACAAGGTAACGAATAACGTGACAGTCCATCCCGGGGAGCAATTTATCCTCTCTCTAGCCATAGTTGGGTATGGTCTGGGCACAGTGCCTGGGTCGGTGATTGCAAGGGGCTCTAATGATGGAGGGAGTGTCTCTGAGCAGTTGTTCGGCAGTGAGTTTGATCAGGCCCAGGAGATAAGAGAAGCAGTGTGTCGAGATGTAGGGTACTCCATTGTGTCTGAGAAAGACAGAGAACAGATTTCTCTAACTGTAGAGACAGAGTCGTTTGTGAAATCAGAGGAGGAAGCTCAATCTGTAGTGGATTTTGAACGGAAAAGAAAAGCAGGAAGAAGTATTACTCACTTCTATAACACTGTGTATGAGAATTTCTTCTACATCCCTGTGTTTGTGGAGGTGGGCCTCCTCCCATGTCCAGTTGGCTTCCAACTGGTGAGAGGGAGATGTGTCTGTCACCAGATATTGCTGGAAAATAACATTGACACTTGCTCCTTCTACAACGGCACAGCTCTCATTCTGAGACCTGCCCCCTTCTGGGTTGGTCTACCCAATGAAACAAACTCCCCAATCCTCGTCAACCCTCACTGCCCCTTTGATTACTGTAAATTAGAAGACATCAACATCACTGCAGAGTCTCCCAATACTCAATGCCAGTACCAGCGATCAGGAATCCTCTGCGGCAGCTGTCATGAAGGCCTCAGCGTGATCCTTGGATCCTCAGAGTGTAAGACGTGCTCTAATATCTACCTCGTGTCCATCGGCATCTTCGTTTTGATGGGTGTGTCTCTGGTGATCATGGTGACCCTACTGAACATGACAGTGTCAGTCGGGACTCTGAATGGACTCGTTTTCTTTGCCAACATCTTGCAAGCCAACAGAACCACATTTCTACCACCAACTACATCTCATACCAGTGCCCTCGTTGCATTCCTGAGTGCCTTCATAGCATGGGTGAACCTGGATCTAGGTATTCCCATGTGCTTCTTTGATGGATTGACAAGCTATGTAAAAACATGGCTACAGTTTGTGTTTCCTCTTTACATTCTGGCATTAGTCGGTGCCATAATCATTGCCAGCAACTACTCCACACGGGTGACTCGGCTCCTGGGGACAAACGCAGTCTCAGTTCTGGCCACTCTAGTCCTTCTCTCCTATACCAAGATCCTGAGAATCCTCATCACAGCCTTTTCTTTCACCACACTCACTGGATCACAGAGCTACCACAGTGTGGTGTGGCTGGCTGATGGCAACCTCAAATACTTTGAACCCAAACATGCCATTCTCTTCCTAGTAGCACTGGCCGTGCTCCTGCTATTGGGAGTGCCCTATACAATCACTCTGACTGCTGCTCCCTGGATACAGAGATCAAGTTGCAAGTGGGTGTCCTCTGCGTACAACAGGTTCAAGCCTCTGTTTGATGCCTACATGGGTCCGTACAAAGACCAATGTCGCTACTGGACGGGAATGCTGCTGCTAGCGAGAGTGGTTCTGATAGTCCTGTTCTCCAGCATTGCCAACACCAACACAGTGGCTGGTCCTCAACTGAATCTCCTTCTCCTCTCCCTCTCATCATCAACACTAATAGGTCTCACTGCATATCTCAAACCGTATAAATGTAGGCTGCTGAATGGACTGGAGATATTCCACCTCTCGATCCTGTTCATCTTCTCCTCCTGCAATCTCTATGTCGCACACACTGGAACTGGAATGGGACCACGTGCCTACATCTACATAGTCCTAGTAGGGGTCTGTTTCCTTGTGTTCATGGGAATCTGTGTGGGCCACGTCTGGTACAGAGTACGGAAAGCTCAGACTGGAAGGAGGCCAGAACCACCACAAAGAGAGGAAGATGATCATCATCCTCTCTTTTGGAAGAGAGCCAGGGTCAGAGCTGAGGATGAAGAGAGAAAACATATCACGATATCGACAGCTGGAGCCACCAACACCATCTCTCATGGAGGGAGAAGAGATTCACTGGTGGAGCTGATAGCTGATAATGTTGACCCACCACAATGATTACTATACAGTACAATAATACTTTGACATTGTTATTCGTTATTCCACTATACATTATTATAATTATCGAAAAAGAGATTAGTATAAATTAGGATGTTGTCTTGATGAAACTAGGCATGCAACAATGCATTATGGAGGTAATAAACTTACAAAACTGGTTATAGTGTCTCCTAATTGTATCACACGGTGAGTTTGATGATTACAGTGCAAGAGCTGCGATGAACTCTCCAGAAAAAGCAATCCACTAGTGCGGTGAGGTGGCAGTGCGACACTATAAAATTTGTCATTGGTTGGTTTAAAGCAACCATTCTTGATGTCAGACGTGTATTTTTTCACTACCACAAGAGCAGTTACCTTCATCTTAGTTTCTCATGATCATGCATAGGCCATAAACCATACGCATGTGGACCCTTGCCTAATGAACTTTTAACACTACAGCATGACTCATAGTAGCTCAACTATATACACTCAGGATAACAAAGCCAGAGCACACTATGATACAGTACAACAAATATTATGGTGAAGTGAGAATGGGCTACAAGTCAGCTCTAACTCCAAAGCCAGGTCCCTTCGGAGGCTCAGTGAGAGTGGTGAGTCCGGTGATGGGCTCGGCTGCATGGCGACTCGAATAAGGTCCCGGCTTGGGTCGTCTTCCAGCAGCCAACTCATCCAGAATATACTCCATGTCCTTGGATTTCAGATCCTCATAGTAGTCATCATTGATTTGCACCATCGGGGCATTCACGCACGCCCCAAGGCACTCCACCTCGACGAGGCTAAACAGACCGTCCTTTGCCGTTTCGCCAACCTCTATGCCCAGTTTACTGCGTATGGTGTCCAGGATCCCGGTGCTGTCGCACAGCATGCAGGGAGTGGTAGTGCACACCTGGACGTGGTAGCGACCCACGGGACTCCTGTTGAACATTGTGTAGAATGTGGCCACTTCGTACACCCGCATTTTGGCCATCCCGAGCAGTTTGGCCACCTTGTTCATGGCAGATATGGGCAGCCAGCCGTGCTGTCTCTGGGCTAGGTCAAGGACTGGGATGACCGCCGCAGCCTTGTGGGCCTCGGGGTAGTTGGAAACTATCGTATCCACCCGCCTCAGGTTGTCCGCCGTGAACTCGAAAGGAACGTCGGGATTGTTCCAATCGCTGTCCCTGTGGACGAACAGTTGTTCACCCCCACCACCACAACTGGCAGAGGAGTGCAGCAATTTTTTCGGAGCCGTCCCTCTGGCCCAGGAGGTGCCGCGTTCTAAATAACGCACAGCCGATAAAACTCTCCTTGCCATTTTCCCTGCTTTCCGTAGGAAGAATGCACTGAACCGTGATCTCTTCAAAACAACAGAAAGGTCTGGATGCTCTACCACTTGGAAACCCTCCGCTTCCCTAACGGGCAGCGTCCAAAAACAAAGTCAAAGTGTAAAGGTCATTTTGGATACGCGCATGCGTAACATTCTTCGCTCTACAGATCAGAGACAGTGGATTCTGTGATGGCAGGGGTGAGTTGTATATCCAGTAGCATCAAAGAGAAGTGGAGGAGATAGTGTGTTTACCCGTTTTGTGGCTTTTCAGAGGGGGCGTTGCTTTCAGTTGCACTCAAAATTTGGTGTATTGGGATAAAACACAATGCATGACTCACACGTGTATTATACGCATGTGCTTATACCTGTACCCTTGCATTCTCATCCTTGGTACCATCAGAAAGTCACACTCTAGGTAGTATGTCAACTCAGGAGACCTGGTCTGGCCTACGAGTCTATGAAACCGCTCTAGTCCTGTTGCTTATTGCGTTGCATAATACTGCCACTCTTTAACTTGTTCCACGCAAGTAGCTTTCTTCCTAGTTCGTGGGAGGATAGTAGTCTATTGTGCTTGGTCTAGGGAGTATATCACTTGGTTTAGAAATCATACCCAACCTGTATACCAAAGGTTAACTCTCACGCTTGTGTTGTGTGTGGTTTTCCTTAACCTGGCAATGTTCTGACTTCCGCAGACTCTCTACACGTATCCTGAGAGTTTCAGGGCCAACAAGGTGTTGATAGCGGCCCGGTACAGTGGAGCAGCAGTCAAGGTGGTGTGTGATCCACCTCAGTTTGAACTGGGGGTCACCAACCATTCCCCTGAGTTCCTGGCAAAGTTCCCTCTCGGAAAGGTACAGAGGAGAATATACACACATGAAAACACCAAAGTATTGAATGTGCTGATGACTCAGTGTCCCGTGCACACTGGCTGTGCCAAACTAGGCATAGTTTTATTGGGTTGGCTTTACTACGCTTAGCTGGACCTAGTGTGTGTCTCTCTTTACCCTGGTTATGCTATCACCATGCAACTACATATAGCTGCGATTTTCAGTTAGCAGGTTTGCCTTCGGAAGGGCCTTGAGCATTCACAATAGCTGTTGAAGTATAACCGAATCGTGTCGTAGCTCAAAAACTATGTGGCTACGCAATAACATGAGCAATTGCGATGGTGCCGAGTGTTTTATTTGTTTTGGTGAGAAATTCGAAAATGGTGCATAATGAGAATGAGTGGTAATCTTTGTTGTATCCATATTGTACTGTGGGTTTGCCTGTTCGTATACTATCAATTAGACTCTGACGTGAGTAAACATGGTTTAGCTATGACTAGCAATGCTTGACATCTGCCTCAAAACAAGGAGGTAGCCTTGCCTAGCTGGTTTACAAGTACATTGTGTAGGTGTGTGTATGCCTACAGTACATAGCCAGGTGACGGTACTAGTCAACTTGGCGGGTCCACTGTTAAGTGTCAAACATGTACGCCAGCACAATGTGCCTAGCATGCGTCTGAAAGCTGACTAATGACATGGTGCGATTTGAGGATTTTAAGTTTGAATGAACCGCTCGATGACCGTGACTGCATGACTCTTTGTTGAAATTTTGGGAGTTTGTAAATCATGTGTAGGTTCCAGCGTTTGAGACGAGTGATGGAAGCACAATCACTGAGAGTAACGCCATTGCCTATTATGGTAAGTGACACTATTGCTGGACCAGTATACAGTTAGTCTTAAGTGTCTGCATTCTATATATAGCTGGGTTTGAATTATGTCTAGCCTATAGTTTGCCATACTCTAAAAAGACGATGTCACACAAAAGTATGCATTGGATATGTACCAAACCAAGGCCAAAGAAACCGGGTTTGTGAGAGCTACACAAAATGGTACCAAGCACTCCGCAATAGGGTAAAAGGTAATGAAGTTACATATTGAAGGAAGTCAGCATGCATTCTCAACGTGAGTGGACTATATATATGTAGATCCTTTTTTTGTTTGAGGAGGAGAGGAAAATCACAGAAGAAGCAGATTTGCACAGTGTAATTAAATGTTCCACTTTGCATATGTATTTTTCCACGTAGTCATGTGTAGTGCAGATAATCATGCTACTGTATATACTTGAAGAATGATGCCTGTACAAACCCTTCATGAAACTGGTGCTGTTGGAGACGGTGCACACAGAAGGCAGCCCCTAAGGCTGACAGTAGTGTTTGCTGCCTTTTAGTTGAGGAAATTTCGAATCTGCCTTTTTGGAGATAATTACAAGAACTCTCCTTTACATGTGTATATCCCTATCCCCACCTCTCTCACTTTGACCTGTACCACTGGATCTCCTCTGCCCAGTTGCCAACAGCCAGCTGAGGGGCACCACTGACCTGGACGCTGCAAGAATCCTACAATACATCAACTTTGCTGACTCTGAAGTCTTGCCTTCCGTGTGTACCTGGACATTCCCCACTCTGGGCATCATGCAGCCCAACCAACAGGTACATTGTACAATATGGATACAACAACGATGCACATAGACCCTTGATCGGTACATCTCATTATGCATAACTTTGCCATTTTCAAATTCCTCACAAAAACACTGGCACCATAGCAATTGCTCATGTTATTGCGTAGTTTTTTTAGCTACGACATGATTCGATTATACTTCAACGGCTTGAATGCTCAAGACCCTTCCGAAGGCAAACCTGCTAACTGAAAATTGCAGCTATATGTAGTTGAATGGTGATAGCATAACCGGGGTAAAGAGCTAGCTGTACGTGGGACCTCCATCTGCTAGCATTATCTGTGCTCTGGCAAAAACATTTGTGTGTTGCCTTTCTGTATAATTATAATTATATGTGCCCGTATTTTGAGCGATTTCCCATAATAAAAAAAACTGCTAGATTTATCCAGCGGTTCCTTCGTAGCAAGGGAGACTAACGCCACAACTCTATACATGCGCTAACTACACATTATGGTTTCGTACACGAGGAGGTGCTAAGGTTGCATGACAGTGAATCGTACATTTTTTACGCACATTAAATATGTGACACCATCAATTTCTCTCGCTGCTGTCATTCAATGAGCCTGGCTCAGATCAGCTTAAGACTGCGGTGTCTGTTTGTGTCTTCTATGATAATATGTATTTTCCCTCCACAAAAGTGGAAAAACATACACCGCAACTTTTGATGGTGATAATTATGTTAAAGAGATAAAGAGTGATTTGTGCCATGAGTGCAAACCTCGTACATACTGTATCTATAATGTGAGATGGTCGCAAGTGTTGTCCAACAACAGATGCAACAGCGTAATTAAATGGTTGTGTTTGTATGATGTAGTAGTAGATATCAACAAGAATAGAATATGCCCCTTATTTTAGGGCTTTTGGTCCATGTTTCGGTGTGCATTATATGGAAATCAACCAAACTCATGCACAAAGATGTATACCACATGCACGCTTTATACTGTAATATATACAACTCCTGACATTACGTTTGTTTAAAACCTTGCATGTCCAGTACAGAGCACATCACTTCTAACGTTTCGTGACATTCATTCATGAATTGTTATGTGGTATAAGTGCTTGTTGGTGGGTGTGTTTGTCTCTGTTTTCTGTTGCAATGCGACAGAATGACAGACGGAACACTCGGACCAAGAACTATAACCCTACTCTGCATGAGGGCTGGTGGTAAATTAGTGGGAATGCTGCCGTATAAAGGGCACAACATGTGCTCTGACGTAAAGTCAGGTGATGTATTAAATACTATTACTGCTTTATTTCTGTCACGAGTATATTACATGTACAGCCTTGATTGTACACTTTGCAATTTAGCTATGTAGCTAACAGACTGGTGGGTAGGAGTGAGCTAGTTTTCCTCAACTAAAAGGCAGCAAACACTACTGTCAGCCTTAGGGGCTGCCTTCTGTGCGCGCCGTCTCCAACACCACCAGTTTCATGAAGGGTTTGTACAAGCATCATTCAGTGGCATGATTATCTGCACTACACATGACTACGTTTTGCTGTACGTAGTTCAGCACGTGGTTTGGTTGTCTCTGCGTACTCCATGTAAAATAACAGCTCACGCTTTACTTACATACTATAGAAGGGAAAGAAGTGTGAGAAGGGCTGCTGGGGCTTCACATGACATCTACAGATATAAAACACAAACACAAACCGAGGGCTGGCAAATCAATTTATATGTGCACGCTCGAGCTAGTACAGAGCGGTAGCATGATGAGACAGACATGTATGACTAAGTTTGAATGGCAGACGGTAGAAATGGTATAAAAGGTATATGCAGGGTGAATTTCATGGTCACAGCTCTAAATTTAGCATTTATGGTTACACTCCTTAATGTCATGCGAATTAGTCCTCCACAGTCTCAACATAAATTTGGAAACATCCAACTGTGACTTTCGTGGGGTCGAGGATCGTCCATTCGATCACTTTTCTCTGTGACAAAGATCACAATCAATGTGCATTGCTGTCACTGCCTACTTGCTACAGCCATAGGGTGTGTCTGTGTGGCCTGCACATTATACAGAAGAGTTCAACTGACATACACACTACATGTTAAGGCAAAGATAAAATACACAGAAGAGGATTGGGAACATGCATGCGAGCTGCCTGTGTTGTGCGGGTGCTCCATGCTGGCACAATTCATGTGCATTTTCTGCAAGCAACACAGAGCGAGAAGGCTAGTTTCTTTATCAGACCCTCTTCAAGAATCTGTGAGCTCATCGAAAACAAACAGCGAGTGTGTAACTTACACCTTTACGTGTGGGTGTGTTTGGAGCAGTTACTCTTGCTACCTCTGGCGCAATGGGTGCATATGTTTCATGGTGTCATCGCTTGTGGGACTAATCATCGCAACTGCTGCCCAACAGTCTCTCACTGAATGTGGACTTGCTCTACTGGAATAGCTACATATTATGTGACCTATGACCTATGCCTGATACCGCAGAGTGTCCGCTAGTTTCCAATCCAGTTCCGCGTATTTTATCTATGGTTTAGGTAACCCGTTGTCGTCACCATCGCATACCCCTCCAGGGAAATATTTCGCCAGTGGCACCTCCACCGTAATGTTATCCGTGACGTTGGCTTTGAATGGACACGGCGGTCGGAGTGTGCACCCTGGGCAGTCACACATGGCTTCAAATCTCTGGAACGGTGGTTGTGTACAGATGTCGAGAAGCTCTTCACATACACTCTGGTTCAGGTGGGCGTAGTTTTGATCTGAGGGGGAGCAGAGGAGATGGTTTCCATGACTGACAAAGATAACTTGGTTGTAGGTTCAGGCAATGGTGCAAGTGCCCCTGCCAAGCACTAATCCCCAACCAACTCGCTAAAACTCAGCATGTGCTATATACATGACACCTCGACTTGCGTACCTACACAATACCTGTATATGCATGCATACCTGGAGTGAAGGTGAAGCTAATCGTGGTGTTTTGTCCAAGAACCAGCTTACAAGGAGATGCACAGCAGTTTTTCACGTGCACATTGTTTATCTTCACATGTGTAGAGCCTGCACTAAAACCGGCACCAGTTACAAACATGTATCAATGCTAACATTATACACATGTATCAATGCTAACATTATTTATGCAACAGGGGGCTCTGTTAGATGAGGTTTTGCAGGCCATTGACATTGTACATGCTATAAGGGCAGCCTTACGCCCTTACATGCATTCACTGAGGGCATAGCTGACCCCCGAGAGAATGCACAGCATGCCTTGCAATCTAGGTGGGCCGCAGTGCGCATGGGGTTTCTGGAACGGCCTGCAGGTACATGTACAGCCTTGCTGACCCTCTTTTAGACCCCCTATCTAGATTTGCCGCAAGAGTCTGAGAGTCTTGAGGTCTTGTTCCTTGGCTAGTGTGTATGGCTATGTGTGATGGCTCACCACAGTCAGTCCAGGGAGTGTTACATTCGCTGACTGCTGGAGCAAGGGACAGGAGCTGGCCACTCACTGCAGCCACTACTACCACAACCACCAACCATGCACACTGCATCCTGGCTCGCCACCACAGGAGGAGACTATTATAATTCTTGGCTTGTTCACTGGTTTTTAACTCTGTGGTGTGGTATGGGGTGATTAGAGTTGGGACTTTCCAGGTTAAGGGATCTGATTCAGCAGAGACTGGAGTCTGCAGTGTTGCAATGTTGTTTGCACATTCCAACAACTTCCTCTGGTGGTGTGTGCTCCAGTGGGCACCTGGTTGGTGAGAGTGGTGCCATGTGGTGGGGTGACATTCAATGGGGCTTCCCCAGGAGGTGAAGGTTCTTCATCAGCAGATGAACCAGACCTTCTCCCTCCTAAACCCACCTGTGCATGCACTAAACCTTGTAATTAACCCTCTGGCTCGCATGAGCAGAGAGGGTTACAATACTGTCCGTCTGTCTGATTGTCTACGCTTATTCTGGGACTGCAGGCCACGAGGCGGCCTATTAGCGATACCAGCGGCTTTAGAACTACGCAAGCCTGAAAACTAAAAGGGCGATTTTCCTGAAACGACTGCGTTCAAGAGATATGCCGTGAAAACAAGCGAAAAAGCCAATACAAATCCCACTGGGCTTACCTCGACCTGATCCACTCACTCTGTGTACAGTGGCGGCTCAAGAAGTCACAACTAAGGGCGTGTGTCAACTCCCGCATGCTATCTTCTTGTGCAGCTAGCCCGTGTCAGACTCTCCGTGAGCTACTATATAGCATGAAGGCCCCGAGTAAATGCATACTCTTGGCCCAACCCATCAATTGGCGGTACTGCGCATGAGCAGTGCGCCGAGGTGCACTTCAGTGCTTTTCATTGTGCGTGGGAGTAAAAGCGGAGGGAAAATGTCAGGACAATACATATTTGATGTGTGCCACCACAGTGATGAGCGTCACACCCACATACAATTGTCAGAGAGAAGGCCTGGTTTTCAAGCGTAGTGTAGCTAGTGTTGCATATGAAATGTTGTAGGCAGTGATACTTACAAGGAGTCTGCCTTTAGCCAGGGGGTCGACTGACCACTTGCCACACATTCACTTCCAATAGACTATACTATGCATCTATTACACACATTTGCGCCTAAGTAATTATGCACTTCTGTAAAGCAGGGAGAAAGGAGGGGGGAGAGAAAAAAGAGGGGGGAGGGGGGGATAAAAAAGAGGGGTAAACCCCCCTGCTTCCCTGCTTGAGCTAAAACCCTGACTGCTTTTCATTGCTAATCACACAAGTTGCCAAACCTCCAAAATGGGACACCCTCCGAACAAAGGACAACCTACCACGTCAGGAAGTTCCACTATAATTATGTATGTTTCTGGTGCAGTGCTGTCTCACCAGACAATGCAGATTTAACCATAGACATTCTAGGTTAGGTGGTTAAAGGCGTTCTCTCCAGGTGATTTAGCTACCAGTGTTATTGTGCCCAGTGTAGCCCTGCGGCCATTATGCGGGCATAAAACTTTGAATAATAGGCAGGTGTAAGAATCTGGAACTATGCAGGAATAATCGGAGAAATTATGTGGAAGTGTCATGTGCACAAGGATAGCCCCGCCCTCTACACGTGGAGGTCACGGGACTCGGGTCTGCTTCCTTCGTGCTGCAGTCCCCCTTAGTAAGGTCGATCTTTTTAGGTCTTTACTCGAAGAGACAGCCGTTTCACCTTACAAATAGACGGCATTTTATGGATTATCTGCCATTGATTTTGCAGCAGGAGCAGGCCAATATTCGACTTCAGTTTGGAGATGTGAGGCCCTTCCTGGATGAAAATGAGGATCTTGGTCCTGCAACACGACAAAAGCTCCTTGGATACTTACTGATCCTCAACAAATGCACTCCTCAAAATAGCTATTTTAGACTGTGGCAAGCCATTTGTCAAGGCTACCTATACTTTGGAGGGCGATGGCCACTGGCACTGGTGTTATGAAATCAGAATATCAGGCAGCTATTCATGTGGGACACAAGCCTAATGTGAGGGCTGTGGTGGGGAACCTATCTTGTGGTATATTACTACTGTACAACAACCACAACAACAGGCTCAGCACCAGCAGCCTGTGCTCACTCTTGCATACCATGCGGCCAGGTATAGCCTACTTTCAACAGCAACTATCAAGTCCTCCTCAGCTGCATTCTAGACTGCCCGATATTTCTCTCCGCAGAAAGCCAACGTTATGCAACTGAATGCTGCCGCTATAGATGACCTGGCTGTGTGGTCAGCGATGCACTGGACTGGTGGTAGATGAGCATGAACTGTGTACCTAAGTGGGTGTCAGCGATGCACTGGACTGGTGGTAGATGAGCATGAACGAAGTGGGTGTCAGCATTGCAAAAGGTCCTGTTAATTCAAACCTCTTCAACTGCATCAGAGAGGGTTTTTTCTCTGCTGAAAGCATCCTTCACTGAACAGCAAGAGTGCCCGTTGCAAGACTATGTCAAGTCATCAATCGTGCTACAGTATGAGTGTCATTGATTTGTCACATCATGTGTCCTTTTTAGGATTTTTCTGGGCGGGGATAGAAGATGAATCAAAGAGAAGTGCGAAATAGGATAATAGGCAGCATGATAGCCTCAGGCCTACTCCAGTGTTATCAGTGTCAGAACCAACCATGTTATGCAAGCCATCCACACATGCCACACGGCATGGTGGACAGGTGGGGTTTGGTAATCACCCTCTCTATCTTGCTGGCTGATGCAGTCATCATGTTCCAACACACTATACTTAGCAGAAAACACATAACAACAATCAATTAATGTCAGCAATCAGTTATTGCAGTAGTCTTCAGTCCACTGTTTCTACAGGAACTTCAAAACATCCAACACGCTTGTTATCAGGGTCTGTTATTCTCCACTGAGCAAAGACTTCAAGCTGTGGCAAAAAAATCATCACTCTCAAATATCATTGGCAAGCTAACCTACTGGTCTAAACACACAATTTTAAGGCGGTAGGTACACAAGGCTTCTATCTCGAACTTTTGGCAAGCAAATATATACAAGCAGTTCAATTTTCACAATGATGTCCAATTTTTCGTGTGGAATACTTATTCGAGCCGCATGCAGACATACAAGGTGTAGGCTGGCTTCGCTCACCAATCAATGGTGGAGAGTAATTATTAGAGCCGCATGCAGACATACAAGGTGTAGGCTGGCTTCACTCACCAATCAATGGTGGAGAGTAATTATTACACGAATGTTGTTTCATACATACGTCTTTTGGGAATGAAGCACTAAGTGGCACTTCCACCGTCACGTTTTCCATGCGATTGGCTTTGAATGGACACGGCGGTTCGAGTGTGCACCCTGGGCAGTGACACATGTACCCAAATGTCTCGTTTGGAAATTTTATACAAGCGGTGGCCAATTCCCCGCAGACGCTCTGGTTCAGGTATGTGTAGTCCTGATCTGATGGGAGAGGGAGGGAGATAAATCTCTGCATGTTATTTGTACATATATATATACATACTTGGAGTGAAAGTGAAACTGAACTTGGTATCGCTTCCAAGTTTTACTTTGCAAGGACTGCTGCAGCAGTCCTGCACAATTACATTGTTGATCTTGAGACCTGTAGAGCCTGGTAAGGTTGAAAATCATACTCAGTCAGTGCACACACACACGCACGCACGCACGCACACACTCCAAATAGTACATTGCCGCCATTCTGTGGACGGTGCCAGATGTTGGCACCACCACAAGTAAAAGGGGTGCAGCCATCATGCAAGACCCAGGCCCAGCCTCCAAACACCTTGAACATACCACCTAACACAGTCGTGGGTTCCAATGGATACAGCAAAATGAGACTCTGTGTTGAGGGCCAAGAAATCAACCCAAGACACCGATTAAAAAACACCAACAAAGCCTAGCCTTCTGCAGAGCGCACAATCAGCCACTTGCTAGTGACCAATGTTCCCGGAGAGGAGGTAGCGCACAATCAACATTCCAGAGCTCTTCGCGCATGTGGCTTAATAATGCAATCAAGTGTTATAGCTGCAAGACTCTTTCAGGCAGGCCAAGGAATTACACCATTGTGTAGAATGCCCCAACATCTACCACGGAGAATGCTCCCAGCCTTTCAAAAACCAGTGTGCTGTTCTCGATTTAGCGCTTTGGCAAAAAAAAACACTGGCGTTTGCGCAGATTTACACTGGGTCGATCATGGTAGCATTCCAGTCGAAGAACGGCTAGTCCATGGTCCGCCTGAAAACCAGCTCACTTGCCTAGCCAGATCCTCACGCAAGGAGAGAGGGTCTGGCCAGCGAGACTAAGCAGATCCTAGCTAGCTACGTCGTCTGTCGTGTGTTTGGGACAAGTCTACCAACCGCAAACTGTTGTTGAGTACGAGTGATGCTCACCGCAGTCCTTCCATGGAGTTTTACATTCGCCGACTCCCGGAGCGAAGGATCCATTCAGCACCAGCGGCCCAGTCACTGCCACTGCTGCCACAAGCAGCAACCACACCGACTGCATCCTGGCAGGTTGCGAGAGTATTCTTCTGGCTTTGTCGAATGGCGCTCTCTGGCTTTTCAGTGTCGGGGTTGCTTCTGCTGCGCTGGGGGCAGGTGGGCGACGTTTATACGTTGGTTTTGCCCTTCTGAGAGAGAAGCGCTGTAAACGGTGCTAGAAATCAGGTGATTTTGGCAGCGCTCGTCGTCGCGTCCTACCGACCAGTCCTGAGTTGTAAACAACAAACGTTCTCTCCCGCCGCCGCAGGTAGTAATTATACGTTTACACGTGATCAATGAATGTGCTTAATTTTGCACACGCGGGAGAGTGCGGTGATGTCATGCACGCGCGCTCTCTGAGGGTCGGGTCAGGGCTAGGCCACCACAAATCTACTTCTGTTGTGTGATCTGTAACAAAACCTCTAACATGACCAAAAGAACCTCCAGCAAACATACTGAAAGTATGGCATTCATATCTAGAATGCCTGCAACAGGCAATGCGAGGATGTAACTGCTAGAAACAGTTCCCAGGTTGAAATATTTGTGTGACTTATGCTGTGATACATAATTATACAAACCATCTTTTCCCCATCCTTTATCTGCCTTTCTCTTTATACCATCGGTTAACAGAAAAGTATGAAAAAAGAGCATAGCCTTCAAATAGCACCAAAAACCTTTGCTCGAGCTATTGTCCCTAATTCTGGCACACAGGTCTTATCTCAGGGTTGCAATGCAGGCTGCCTCTGTGTCCTTATAATAATATGTAAAGTTGCAACTCTCCACATAAATATATGGTGGTGTTGGTGGTTGCTAATCGTGGTGCACCAGAAGATTACTCCAATTTTGAGTAGCCTACATGGGTCAAAACAAGTGGTGCTGAGGTCACTCAGCTACTAAAGTCTGTCATCGGCAACTTTGTTGGCACTTCACAAGTTATGTGGCTGATCTCTGTAAATTCCCTTCACTTAGACTGGGAAGGCTTAGGTTCCTAGGATAGCTAAGGTGGAAGCACTAATCACCACCCATTGAGCATGTGCATTAGTGCATATCACTGCCCTGGAAATCTTTTTTCAGGCTGGGTGCTATACAGGGGTTGATTAGGTCAGAGTTTAATTAATCAGCAGATAGACTAAGGCTTGTGACAACATCTGGCATTACTCTACAGGAGTTCCCTGCTTACTGGGTGGTGTGTTCAGATCTCCAACCTCTATCTACTAATGTGTGTGCTAGTAGGTGAGCCATTAGTCTCTTGCCCAGACCCTCAAGTGCTCCCACTTGAGAGAGGGTCTGGTATATAAGGTATAAGGTCAGATTTCTTGGTTGTGCTGAATCAGCATGTTCTGAAAACAGGTAACCCAATAACATTGCCCGACTTACAACTATCATGTGACATCAAGGCGATCTACAATGCCAATCTGTTCTGTGCATGCGCAGCGCAACAGAATGAGAGCGCTTGTGACCAGGTAATCACATGACTGACAGGTTGAATTACCCAATAAACGTACACATGCTGATTCAGCACAACCAAGAAATCTGACCTATTTACCAGACCCTCTTTCACGTGGGAGCGACGTGAGGGTCTGTGCACGAGACTAGCATGGGGAACCTGAGTTTGTACAATCCTAACCTACAGCTATCTATTTCCCATGGTGTATTTGTCATCACATCCAGGATGCTAGTAATGAGTGCACAAGTTATCCAACTGGTTAACACTCGCGCGCACACTCAGCGAGGGTTACGGTCTGTGTGTGTGCCTTTTTCTTTGCAGCTATTCTGGCACGAGGCTGCCTATAAGCGATACCAACGGCATCAGAATACCATGTATTTCCTCAGCTGCATGGCAAAACAGCCCATGAACAACACTTTGACTGCAAATAAGTTCATCAGGGAAGTGATCTGGTGTTCTGAAAGGGGTGCACTGCTGCAAGTTGTGCTTGTGTGAGAGACAATAATTTATTATGGTGCGAGTAAATGATTGTGTAGTTAAAATGTCCTTTTTTCTCAACATCTCATGCATGTTGTTTTCTCTTTCCCTTTGCCTGAATGTGACTCCCAAAACTTAGCCAAAACAGTAACTGTACACACTGAAAGCTTTTTGGGGGGACGCAAAACACACACACACACACACACATACATACATACACGTTGTTGTGAGTGGTGCTTGTGTGTGTGTGTGTGGCAAACTATGTATGGGGGAATGGTTTAGTGCATAACACCGTCACATCTCACGTTGCTCCCCTTTCCCCTTTCCATTGCATCCTTAGTTTTTTGAGCCTCGGCATGTATCCACAGAGGGTTACAGTACTTGGTTTGTGAGTGTGTGGTCATCCGTCTTCTGTCTGTCTGTCTGTCACCACTTTTTCTGCCACCACATGCAACAAGCTGGCCAAAAGAGCGACACCAACGGGTTCCGCGCTACACTGGCTTGATTATGAATTTGGTGATTACAAAAAGTTACAGTGTGAAAACCAAGTGAACAAGCCAAATTGCCATTGGCTTACCTCAACCGCATTGCGTAGACGGGTCTAAAATTACAACAGAGGTTGACTATCATATCTCGCGATGCCTAAAACGCTATCTACTGGTGTAGCTAGCCCGTGTCAGAATCTCAGAGAGCTAGGGAAAGGAAAGACCACATGTAAATCAACAGCATGGGGCCCAGCCCATCAGTATGATAGTGATCCGCGTATTCATATGGGTGATTCTTGACAGGCACGTGCATGTCTAATGTGAAAAAGGTTTTTGCTTCAATGCCTAAATCTGTCCCTTGCTTCAATGCCTAAGTCTGTCCCAAAATTCAATAGAAACAGTAAGTGTACACACCGTACACACTGTTTTTGCTTTTGGGGGGGACACAAAAAAACACATGCTCTCCGTTGCACGCTTATAACATGTTCTTCGCACATGCTCACACGTACACCATGCAGGCGGTGGGGCAGGCCCAGGCTGCAGTGAAGAGATGTCTGGAGGTGTTGGACTCAGCACTGGCCACGCGGACGTTCCTGGTGGGAGAGAGAGTGACTCTGGCTGACATAACCCTCGTCTGCAACCTCCTCCTCCTCTATAAACAGGTCACCTAGAACCTCCCCCCCCCTCGGCTCCAACATGTAGGCGATTGCTCTTACATTGAACTGTTCGCCTAATTGAAATGCAAGAGTTGGCTAGAATCTCACTGGTGGCACAAGTGTTTTATCACTCAGCACATATGTGAAGCGAAGTTTACAGTACCTGGTCCATCTGTTTGTCTGTCTACGCTTATTCTGGTACTACAGGCAACGAGGCGGCCTGCAAGTGATACCAACAGACACGCAATGCAGTGTGTACACTAGAATGAGATGTAGACTCCAGGTGCCTAGCCTTTATAACTGGGGAGATAGGTTCATGTGCTCCATACATTGGCCCACCGCATCCATGTTAGTGATCGTCCAACCACCACGATTTATTCATGTTGCAAGATAGTTTAGTTTGTTGTGTGTGTGTGTGTGTGTGTGTGCTGCAGGTGTTGGATCCTGGGCTGCGTGCCCCGTACGTCAATGTCAACAGGTGGTTTGCCACATGTGTCAACCAGCCTCAGTTCAAGGCTGTTCTCGGAGACGTGCCCCTCTGTACCAAGATGGCCGTCTTTGATGGTGAGTCGTCCATCGCTCGTCACACTTTAGGAATGCAATTATTGAGCTTGCTACGCTCAAGCGTATGCATCACGTGTGTAACCCATCTGTTCATAGGACTGTTTAGATAGTGGAGCCCCATAAGTCATTTCTTTTGTTGAGTGTGTACTTAGGGTGTGCCAATAATTACATTGATGACATTGTGCGGGTGCATGTACACCTACTGGTGTGTATTTACACTAGTGTATGTATACCTGTAGTGTGTACAATGACATGTCTGTAAAGGTTTTGGGGTTTGGTACAGTGCATGTTACCCACCTCACCTCACTCTCCCTCCAGCCAAGAAGTACAATGAGCTGTTTCCCAAGGAGAAGAAGGAGAAGGCAAAGAAAGGTGGAGGAGAGGCAAAGGAGGAGAGTGGGAAAGGCTCGGCCAAGAAGCAACAAAAATCCGACACCCACAAGAAGAAGGAGGCTGAGCCACCAGCGGAGGAGGACGACGCCCCCAAAACAGCCAAATTTGTTGATCCCTACCTCAGCCTTCCCCCCAGGTAATGGTCGCTCCAATGATGGAGGAGGCTTGGTATAGCATCGATACATATATACACCTTATCCCTCCAGAAGGATATCATACACTCAGTGTCCATGTTTGTGATCGAGGAAATATTTGCCACCAGTTTTGTGCAATGTGCTGTTAAATGGTCTCTCCTCTCTCTCCTCTCTCTCTCCTCCCCCTTCCTTCTTCCCCCACCATGCCTTCTCTCCCTCTTTCCCCACTTCTTTCCTGCCTCCTCCTCTCCGCTCTCCCTTCCCCTCCTCCTATATATCCCCAACAGCCCATTCATCATGGACGCATTCAAGCGTGTCTACAGCAACGAGGACATCGAGACAAAAGCAATTCCGTACCTGTGGGAGAACTTTGACAAGGAGGGGTGGAGCCTCTGGCGAGCCGACTATAGATACAACAACGAGCTAAAGATGAGTTTCATGGCCGCTAATCTCATTGGCGGAATGTTCCAGAGAGTGGAGAAGCTCCACAAGTACGGGTTTGGCTCAGTGCTCGTATTTGGCGAGGATTACAAGTTGTCCATCTCGGGAATCTGGCTCTTCCGTGGTCAACAGCTCGCTTTCAATGTTAGTTGTGTAGTACAGTGCTGTGAAGCTGGAGTTATGTGGCCCTGACAATCATTGCTCCTGTCATAAATCCTAATCAGAGATCATGAGGGGAGATTATTGGTTTGCTGTTGTACTAGCAATGTCATCAACTTTGATCTTTTCACCCTGCACACACACACACACACACACACACACACACACTGTGAACCAACAGCTAGTAGACAGTTGGAATGTCGACGCCCCATCCTACGACTTCACCAAGCTGGACCCAGAGAACGAGGAGCACCGAAAGATGGTCAATGAGTTCCTCGTGTGGAAGGGAGACTTTGAGGGGCGGGGTCCCGAGCCAACCGACGGCAAGATTTTCAAGTGAACTGAGATGATTCTCACTGCTATATAGGAGTCTGTTCCATTCAAATGACCCTCTAGCATGCTAATAATGGATCATTGTGAATTTGTTTTGTCGATCCCCTCCACCTCCATTCCACGTACGCATGTGCGTATGTTTCAAGTTACGCGACACAAAGCAATACGATAAGCCATATTTGGCATGAGGAAAGCACTAATAATATAGTATGGTACAAAATCAATGTTTTAGCTTCACTCCCAAGTTTTTATGACCACTTTGTGAGAAAGATCACGTGTGCAGAGCTTCAAGAAAGGTGGCCTGAAAGATGGGAAGTTCTTGCTGCAAATCACCAGGTTATTATGATGCCTATCCTGTGCGGTTATTATGATGCCTATCCTGTGCATGCTTCTCTATTCCATCGATTCTTGCACAAACTGCTACTGACATCAATGCTTGGTATTATGTTGTATGTGGGTGTAGTAGGAGTTACAATTATTTCTATATCAACTCACATTGTTGCCGATTGTTGCCAAATGTTGCATTGCCACAATTTGAAGAACCACAATCCACCCGAGTGTTCAGTATCCACTCAACAGCTATGGAGACACTGAAGCAGATGACCCTGAATAAATATTATTTTAAAATGTGTTTGCCAACCATTCATCTGTCTCCTGTTTTATGAACAGGGTCTCCGTGTTACCCTGTAACGAAGTGGGACTGAGGAAGAGTCGCTTCCACCAACTGGAGATCGTCGCGTATATACTATATATTCACGCATGCGCAAAAGTAAACGCTAGTAGCTAGCTCCTCCCTCCTTTAGCAGGGTGCAATGTCACGGTTCGTTGAGGCGGTAATATGGTCGTTTCACTAGCCGTTGCCGCTGCTCTGCTGCTCCTGGCAGACTCACTCTGTCTCGGGCAGAGCCGGGACGTGATCCTAGAGCCGGTGAAGCGCTCGGGGGCCGAGGCAGCGCTGGTGCTGATCCAGGACTTCCAGATCCTGCCTGAGCAATATCTCCCACTGGCCAAGGCCGTGCAGAACGCCTCCAACCTCACCCTCTGGGTCGGCATACCCGAGTTCTTCGTCAGCGATCCCGCGCCCTCCGATATCGAAGAGGGGGTCGAGAGAATCATCGCCTCGCTGCGCGACGCTGGCATGGAGGGCGATAACGTCGCCTTTGCAGGTCATTCCCTGGGAGGAGCTAGTCTCCAGCGCTATCTGGTGGGCCACTCGAGTCGGGGGTTTGCACAGGTTCTGCTTGGGAGCTTTCTCCAGAGAAAGTATCGCTCGATCCCCTACCCCATCCCAACCCTGACTGTAGGTGGGGAGCTTGACGGAGTGTGTCGTGTGTCCCGCATCATGGAATCCTACTACCACAGTATCATTCACACTCCAAACCACACAGTGGGAATCAGAGACTTCCCTGTGGTTGTTGTGGAAGGAATGTCCAACATGCAGTTTGCATCGGGTGCCATTCCACAGCTAACCAAAGACCTGGATCTCCGGCCAGAAATATCCTATGATGAAGCTCATCGGAAAGTTGGTGCTCTGGTATCAGCTTTCTTAGACTTACACGCGGGAGACTCGCACACTCTGGGATTTCTCAGTAAAGCTGTGATGAGAAGCGGTCAGTTTCTGAAACCTCTTTTGACTGCGTTTGAGCTAGAGGGCTATCACAATTTCAAGCCTCCCTGCAACGATAAACCGCCTAACGGCTCCTGCACCGTTGGCTCTAGCTGGTCTGAGCAAGGTGTTGTAGCTATGGGAGACCTAAAGGAGGTTATTATCAACGACAGTGACAGTTTCCATCCTTCGTTAGAGTTTTACCCTCACGACTACCTACCTCACCTCAACAATAGCTGTTCCACTCCATCATCTTGTACGCTTGAGGTTTTCTCTGTCACAGAAAACGTCTACGAGGAGCTGGATAATGTCATTGACAGTGGGTTTGTCCCTATATCAGCCTATGAAATGAGGGTCAAGATGGTGTCTAGACAGGTCATGATGGAAGCTGCTGGCTACAGGGACGTTGATTTTAACACAAGTGATGGTTACTCAGTGTGCAAGCTCATCAACCAAGCTTTTTACAACTGGGCTATTGGAAATGCTTCTAATCGCACTCTGCAGAGGTATACAAAGTATGGTGTGCCTTATGTGATGGGTAACGATGAGGGCCCCTACAATATCTTCCCCGAATGGGTTTACAATCCACTGCAGTACAAACACACCAAAACTGCAGGAGAAGATGTGATAATTGTTCAGTCACCAACTCTAAGGACACCAAAAGATTACTTTCTGAAAATTTCTGCTGGATTTCATTTCTGCAAGGTTTTGTCACCAGCTAGAGTTATGGAGTGGATGTATGTAGATAGCTTGCGTGAGAATTATGGTATGAAGAATGTTTTGTAATTTGTAAAAATATAATATCAGGTTTGTATACACAAGACATAATATTATGCAGTGTTGCGTTCCGTCTGTGCGAGTAAGGTATAGATTAGCTTTGATAATGGTTGTATTATACCTATGAACATCTTTACCCATTACCATTCTCTTTATATAATATAATTATTATAATTATATAGTTACACAAGACTTGTAGCTGTAGCATGAAGAAATAGCCCCATACCTAAGAGTCTATGTTCTATGTATTACTGTATATTATTATGTACTTATAGCTCTATAGATTGTTCACACAAAGACCATGGTAATGAATACACTGGGTTGCCTTCTAGGGAATTTCGTTACTGCTACAGAGGTCACGCGTGACTGCCTGTTGGTGAGACGACAGGACTTGCAGTCTGTCTAGCTTTACACGGCGTCCTGTAAAAGTGGTCGAGATCCCGAGCGTATTATACCTGTCGCAGTGAAGGTGGCCGTCAGCGGCGTCGTCCCGGCGAATTTTGTTTACAAGGCCCACCCCCTTGATCAGCTTGCAGAACATGTGGATTGGAAAACGCATGGCTCAGATGTGTGCGGTGCTCATCGCCACCGCAGCCTACCCCGCAGCGGCAGATGATGTGGTGCTGAAACCCCTGAATACCACTCAGTCTGAGGTCGCCATGGTGTTCATTCAGGGAGCCGGTATAGATCCGGAGCAGTACGTCCCTCTGGCACAGGCAATCCAGACCTCCTCTCAATACTCACTGTGGGTCGGGATCCCCAAGTTCAGCCTTGATACACCGGACCCTCTGGAGATTGCAGAGTGCATAAGTCGGATCATGGATTCAATGCATGCGGCAGGGATGAACACTAAGAAATTTTTCTTTGCCGGTCACTCCCTGGGAGGCACAGTTCTGCAGGACTACCTCTTTGACAGCGGAGAGACTGGATTTGCACAGGTACTCATGGGATCATTTCTCGAGAGGAAATACAGGAACATATCCTATCCTGTGGCAACCCTCACCATTGGCGGAGAGCTGGACGGATTGTGTCGCGTGACGCGCATCATGGAATCATTCTACCACAGTGTACTGAAGGCTAGCAACAGGACTGAGGCTGTGGCTAACTTCCCAGTGTTGACAGTGGCTGGTATGTCTCACATGCAGTTTGCGTCGGGGGATCCACCACCACTGGTGAAGGATAGGGACTTGAGACCGGAGATAACTGAAGAACAGGCTCACACTGCAGTAGCTAGCCTCGTCAATACCTTCGTCTCACTTCATCTCGGAGATTCACAGTCCTTCTCAAAGCTATCGAAAGCCGTTGAGGCAACAGAGGCGTTCATGCAGCCTATCTTGACTGCATTTGAACTAGAAGGCTATCACAATTTCAAGCCGCCCTGCAACAGTAATCCGCCGAGCTCTGCCTGTCAGGTCGGTTCCCAGTGGTCAAGCAGGGCCCAGGAGATCATGGGAGGACTCAAGGTGGCCAGGCTGAACGACACAGACCAGTTCCACCCGGTGGACCAGATCAACCCTGTACACCTCCCACACATCCACAACAACTGCTCGTCCCCCACTCCGCAGTGCTTGCTCCAGACTGGGACCGTCACACAGAACATCTACGACGACCTGGACAAGTTTGACACTGCATTTGTGCCAATCTCGGCCTCTGAGATGAGGGTCAAAATGAGCTCCCGTCAGGCTGTCATGGAAGCTGCCGGCGACAAGAACGTGAACTTTAACACCAGCGATGGATTCTCAATCTGCAGGGTTATCAATGAGAACTCTTATAGTTGGGCACTGAGCAGCGCATCGAACACCACCGTTGCTCGATTTCAAAAACATGGAGAGCCTTACGTTATGGGAGAAGATGAGGGCCCATACAATGCTGGACCACTTTGGATATGGGACCATCTCAAATACAAGAAGACTGTTAACAGCAGTGGTGATGATGTCATTGATATTCGCTCACCAATGATGAGAACACCGCTAGATTTCTACATCAAGGTTTCTGCAGGGTTCCACTACTGCAAACTCCTCTCACCAGCTCGAGCAATGGAATGGATTTACGTTGATGGACTGCGTGACCATTACAACATACGATAGGAATGTTTGATTGAATACGATAGGAATGTTTGATTGAATTTTCACAAATTTCTATATATAAAGTGTGCGCCATGTTCTGTGCATATGATAATGTTGTGTAGTAGATTGTGTAGGTGTAGCTAGCCACCTCCCAGGTTAAACCTCAGAAACATTCAGGGATAACTAAGGCCTTCACAGTCCCATATCTCTTGCATGCAGACAAAACCCCTCTCTGGTGCCCTCCCCTGCAGAAAGTAAGTGTACTGCTGATTGATGACTATGCTGGACATTTGCCCCTATACTACATGCATAATACATTGTGCTATAATCATGTGTACGTCAGATGGAAAGTGTTTTTGAATCGTAACAGAGTCTTAGATGAGCCCTACACTCTCTGCACATAATTATAATAATAATTTTACAGCACAGTCCCAGAGAGTATCAGTTTAGAAACTGGCATTTACTGTGACTGCCTCCTTTTACTGTTGTCCTCGTGAAGTGGCATTGTGTGGGGAATTCCCACGAGTTAGGCTGATGTCATCAACATAGGAGGTGTCAATGATCGCTCGTTTTCTTCTTTCTCCATGTGAAAGCGTGAGCTGTTTACGGTTGTAGTTTTGTGGCACTAGTTTTTCTGACCAAATTTAAAAATCTGTATATAGGTGAGAGTTAATAAATGTACTATCATATTAGCTACCAACCGAGAATGGTGATACAATCTGTATGTAGCTACACCGCAAAAATTTTAATGGACCCATAGACATTACTGCCCATGCTAAATAGATTGCTGAATGTTATGCACCATTTATTCCAAAAAGACTATGGACGCCGTGCAATGCCAAACTAGACGCTGATCCTTCGAGGTGTACTATGTGGGTCAGTGGTATATAGATTCATGGGTAGCTAAGGGGAGGAACCAGAGCTGTTCCCAGCCAATGCTCTGGACCACCAGTCAGTTTCAGTGCTGGTCCAGGAATCGAACCCACTGCGGCCTGGGACCTTATGCTGACAGTCCCCATGTTTCTACCACTTTAGCCACTTGGGCTGACCACGAAGGGTGATAAAACAAGGTTTCTCTTATACCAACACTGGTTGGTTCTTCATTTTAGTTTTGAGTCACGAAATTTGCTGATCAGCATTTTGCATTGTTCTTAGTTCGTAGCCCAAGTTCATAATCTGTTTTTATTACGGCATATTATACATTGTAACCAACATAATGAAAAGCACTAAAGTGCAAACCCTCGGAGAACTGCGCATGCGCGATACTGCTAATTGATAGGCTGGGCCGGCTATTTGCGTTTACTCGTGGTCTTCCGCTAGCATAGTTGCCAACCGTCCCGGAAGTTTGGGCCTTGTCCCGGCGGTGTCCAGGTCGAGGCAAAATAGCAATAATGTCCCGGAATTTATAAGCTAGCCAGCGTAAGGTGACCATTTCATAGTTCAAACCGTAACAGTTTCTTGGTAAGTTTACTAAGTTAGCTACTCTCCGCGCGAGGCTCTGCGTTGCCTGTCAACGCGAGGGCTGGCTGTAGGCTGCGCGCATCAACACGTAGTACGCGCACGCGCAGCAGACGCAAAATGTAAAAAAAAATTTTAAAAAAAAAGTAATATAATACTCGCACGCGTTATTTTACAGGGCGTGTCTTTTTAAGGGGGCGGGGTCGCGCGCTGTCCCGGAATGTCCTCTGGAAAAGTTGGCAACTATGCGCTAGTAGCCCGCGGAGAGTCAGACACGGGCTAGCTACAGTAGTAGATAGCATGACATGCCATTGGTTGTGACTTCCTGAGCCCCCAAGATACACAGAGCGAGCGGATCAGGTCGCGGTAAGCCCAGTGCGATTAGCTATGCATATTGGCTTTTTCGCTTGTTTTCACGGCATATGTCTCGAACCAGGAAAATCGCCTAATAAGTTTTCAGGCTCCCGTAGTTCTGAATCCGCTGGTATCCCTAACGGGCCGCCTCGTAGCCTGTAGTGTAGTGCCAGAATAAGCGTCGAAACACACAGACAGACAGACAGACAGACAGAACGACTACTGTAACCCTCGCTGCGAATGCGCGCCGAGGGTTAATAATTCGTGACTCAAAACTTAGTGTGTTTCTGTTGCGGACAGACACGCACATACTGCGCATGCGTATGCAATTGTGGTAACAAAACTAGGAAAGGTGGAGCAAAAAAATGAATAAAGGTTTTAAGGAAGTCCGTCAGATGGGTGCGAGAGAAGTCCGACGAAGCCACATGGTGGCATTCCCACGCCAGAGAGCGATGGCGAGACGACCAAACAGAAGGGTCTACAGATGCGTATATAATATATGCATTATACCCGCGCGGATCTGACGAGCGGCCCTTCCGTGGGGTTGCACTGTGCATGCTGGCTATTTGGGTGAATGACGTCAATCTATTATACGTACTTTCATTGTAGTAACGGTATTATCCCTTGCACAATCAATCTCACACACACCGTAACTAATTACTTATTCATTAGCTAAGTTTGCATAAACGTACAATATGTAGTTTCAGTGCATGAGTGATTACCAATGTACCCATACCGTCGGACGTCCCAAAATAGGTCGTAGGAAAGTTGTATAAAAAGGTCCCTTGGCACAAAAAGCTACTGTCGCAATTTTCAACACCACAGTGCAAGTTTTGCAGTCACTTTGTCAATTTTAGTAGTTCAGCAAGCGAGCAATGGCTACGCGGGATGTTGGAGGAATAGAGGGATTGCAAGAGAAGCAGAATGTACTGCAGCATGAGAAATCGCTTGGCTGCCAAGCAGTGAAAGAAAAGAGCGGAACTGAAGAATTCGGCGAGGAATCGTTTGCCAGTGCTATCAGCAGGAACAAGAAGCTGCGACTGGGGTTGCGCTTAGTGATCGGATTTGTTCTTTTACTTGCGGTTCTTGGCTGTGTCGCTGGAAGTAAGCTCACTCTCGTGGCGTTGGCGAACAAGCTCAGGCACGTTACAGTCAACCAGACGAAGCAGGAGGTGAGCTATTAGTAACTACGTATCGACATATACGCACGGTATTTATTTGTCTGCAGCTCAAAGACAGGTCTACAGACATTAGTCGGCTGTACTGGCAGCTGGTCATTATTCTGGTCCTCCCCCATTGTCTGACGTTTGTGCGATCCGCTGTTGTGGGAGTAATTGGGAAGACCAGAAAGGCGCACCCTTGGCCTAGGAGGAGTGCTCTGATTGCGGTAGGTTCTAGCTATAATGTCAACCACCCAATAATTTATTATGAGCTGAAGTGGTTCTTGGAACCATCTGAGACTGCTATATTGAAGCAAGTCCTTCGTGTGTAAATTTTGTGTCCGTCATGGATATTCATTTGCATACCTAGCAAGCCAGTGTGCTGTTACACCGCGCTATATTAAATAAGGATCAAGGGAGTTTTATTTGATCAATGAATGCCATCGATTTGTGAACAGAACTAACCAATGAGGTCATCGCCGTTCAGTGCTCCGTCAGATCAGATTCATGGCTAGCCTGTCAAAGTAACGAAGTCATTACTTACTGGCGAGCGGGAGCGAGCCAACCTATATGACACACGCTTCATACCTCGCGATATGCGCCGGTCTATCTAGCCAGCGAGAGAACTCTCCTCTCCATTCGACGGCATACACTGCAATCTTTGGTGACGACCGAGGCTGTATATACTTCTTCCCAATCTTCATGGTTCGAAGGCGCAACTTGGAAATAAGCTAGGATTGCTCGTGCAGATACTGCTGCATGTCAGCTGCCTGGTGGCACGACTGACGAACTGAAAGCATAAGGTAAGTACCGTTCTGCTCACCTGCTCACCGTTCTGGCAATATACAGTACGCATGTAGCTAACGGCGACAGGTAGATCTGTCTTGCTTCACGAAAGGAAAGCTGTGCGCTGACGGCACGTTATGCAGCTCCAACATCGCGGGAAAATCCCGAGTTGGGTCGCTCCCGCTCGCCAACAATGTTCAACATTTCCACTAGTATTATTATAGGATCTTATGCGAGAGCGAGAGATTCCCTATGTCACTCGGGGCGGTCACGCGCGTACGCAATGCCGCTTGTTTTTCCGCCGTGGCCAGTGGTTTTATCGAGGGTTTTATCGTCTTCTAAGTCGGCTTTGCCTTGTGCACACGCGTGAGGCCGAATGGGTCATGAATATACTCTATTTTTGTATTGCGTTCTTTGTTGCATTTTCCCTTTTATTTACCGTTTTATTTTCTCTCTATTCCTCATTTGTGTATACCTGTCTGTCAGGTGTTATCATTTCGAGAAAAAAAGTGCTTCTATATAGCTATAGAGCAGTGCGGAATACACGTGCGTATAGCTGTGGAGTCGCTCAAAACGCGCAGGTCTCCAGTTTGCCAAGCATTCATTTCGCCTACCTGGACATTCTGGCCCGTGCGCTCCGCAGCGGGCCGATTGCGCGATGTAACAGCACACTGGCTTGCTAGCTATGCAAATGAATATCCATGACGGCTTGATAATGCTGCTGGGCTATATACCAAATAAAAAAATTGCATGGAAAAGGCGCACCAATGTATATACAAGAGTTCTCATGGGATGGGCACAGTTTGTGTGGGTTGGTTAGCCACTACGCGAATCCCTTGCCAGCTCTGCTGGAAGTCAGAGTCAAACAGTAGTGGAAAAGCATATGTGTCTCCCACTCTAACACAGGGAGCATTATCATCGGTGTTGGAAGTGGTTGCAATGAGTGTCTTTGTCTTCTCCGTCCTCTGCTATCTCACTCCACTCCTGGCTCTACTGAGCATGCAGCCAGTCTTTGCTGCTCAATTTGTACTCGACATATACTACACTCCGAGCAGATGCAGACCGAGATGGAACCACAGGAATGGGCATTATGAAAACCTGGATCATGCTGAACGGAGCCTCTTAGATATGAGTGATGAATATAGAACTGGACCTGAACTAGGTGTTCATAAATTCAACCAGAGAATCCGGGACTGCTTTGGTGCCATTCTCGACAATAAGATAGTCAAAATTGTTGCATTCTTCCTGCAAGTAGTGGGCACCGGTGCAATCATAGCGACTTTGGTTCTCACCCACAAACCGGACCTGGACCACCACATACCCGTTATAGCACTCCCCCTCTCTCTGGTGACTCTGGGGGCCCTGTGGAGCCACAGGTTCCAGGAGTTCCTGTTGCAGGCTCCTCAGAGGAATCAGAGGAATCCGGAGACAGTTTGTGAGAGGGACGGTGCAGCTGACTCCAGTGCACGCTATAAAGCAAGTGAGCCAGAATCCAAAGTCACACCATTACGTTATTATCAAACAATTTTTATGTGTATTACAACACTTTCTGTGGCTGCCTTGCAGATTTCCTCAATTCGTTCTACCGGATCGTTCTGTACCCCGTGCTAGCCTACGGAGTCTTCCGCCTCATCCACTCCAACAAAGATATTGATCCGTGGGCGGCCTCCACGCTTCACCTTTTGGGGACGGGCTCCGACCTCACTCTCTTTGTTGCACACATTCTGACAAGTTTCTTTGGGTATGTGTTTGCATGGACCGCTTGTCTCATGACCCTCAGGACAATTGGATTTGCTCTCCCTCTCCTTCTTTCAACCCCGGTGGCCCTGCTTACTGGGCTGATTGTGCCATACTTTGAGGAATTTTCACGCGAGCATTTCTCAAAGTTCAACAGTCTCAACTATGCAGTCATTGGGCTGTGGTTTGTCGTTTATCTCGGTCAGGTCCTTGGCATTGCCTATTACCTTTGCACCAAAAACAACCTCATTCTCTCACAGGACAGCGACATGTTTCTCAATCCTCACTACGAGAGTGTTTTCCTTGAACAGTACCTCTCTCTCAACAGACAGGTGGACAAGTATTCCAACAACATGCAGGTCACATTCGATGGGCATCTCTCTGAACCCGCACCATATTCATTTGCTCCACAATGTACCGCTGAGAACGTGCGGGAAATGCGGCAGATGTTAAAGTCCATCAACAGGATGTCTGAGTGGTACGCCGACCAGAGGAAATTGAATGGAAAAAGGAAAGATGATACGGTCGAATCGCACATATTTTTTGATGGAGCTGTGAATGGAGGACAGCTCACCCAGTACGCCATTCAGCTGCTCTCTCTAGTTAGTGAGTGTCTGCTGGGGGTTGAAATCAGAAGTGGCACTAGAAAGGAGACTTACTATGGACAGAGCATGAGCTGGCAAGTTGGAGAGAGGAAGATGACATTCACAGTCCACTTCAAAGACAACCTAAAGGTGAAGGAAAAGAAAAGGTGGAGTCAGGTAATGTACATGAACTAGTCTTGAACCATCGGATCCCAGAATCTCAAACATCAAAGAGGCCGCTGAACAAGGACCACACTTACATTCTTACGACTGATGCCGACATTGATTTCACTGCCGAATCTGCCATGGTTCTCATGGACTCCCTGGCCTCAAACAAGGAGGTGGGTGCGGTGTGCGCCCGCACACACCCAAAAGGCTCTGGCGTCCTCTACTGGTACCAGATCTTTGACTATGCCATTGGGCACTGGTTTACAAAACCAGCCGAGCACCTTTTGGGGTCAGTCCTCTGTTGCCCGGGGTGTTTCAGCGTGTTTCGATGCAGGGCCCTGGAGGGTGTTTTGCAAGAGTACTCGTCAGAGGTACAAGGTGCAGCAGATTTCCTTTACAAAGACATGGGGGAAGACCGCTGGCTGTGCACACTGCTCATTCAGAGGGGGTGGCGGTTGGACTACTGTGCCATCTCAGAGAACCACACTTACTGCCCAGAGTCATTTGACGAATTTTACAGGCAGCGACGGCGGTGGGTCCCTTCCACAATTGCTAATCTCCTGCTGGTAATTTCAAAGGCCTGGAACATCACCAGTACAAACAACTCTGTTTCTATAGCATTTGTCCTCTTTCAAGCCATCATGGCTTTTTCTACCGCCATTTCCCCAGCCACTGTCATCCTCATAATTGCCTCTGGATTACAAGGGGCGTACCAAATCAGCGACAATGCTGTGCTTGCAACGATAATCATTCTCGTCCTCTTGAGTGTGATCTATGGCTTGGTCTGTCTCTACACTAGCCAGAAGACACAGATTGACGTCGCAAAATCCCTCACTTTACTCTTTGCCATTCTAATGGCTGTCGTCTTTGTGGGTATCTTCAAGGAAATTATTCTCGAGGTCTTTCCTGTGGACAACCGCCTCGTACTTCTCCAACCTCCCATATGTACTAACAAGTCTGCCGACTGCCTAAGGGCACAGAACAACCTTGGGGTTGCTGTAAACATGTCATCTCCTTTTAAGGTTTTTCAGCTGCCAACCAGCCCGACAACCTGGTACGTGGCAGTCTTTGCCGTTACCTACACAGCAGCTGCTCTTCTCCATCTCTGGGAGTTTCCCTTTCTCTTCCACTGTATTTGGTACATACTGGGCCTCCCGTCTGGGTACCTCTTGCTGCTCATCTACTCTGCTGTCAATCTCGACAGTCAGAGCTGGGGTACTCGTGAGGCTGCCAAGGCAGCAGGAGGAGGAGGGGGAGGTTTCAAAATGGTGAAAAAGTGGGCGAGGGAGGGAGGGAAAGTAGTGCGGGAGTTTCTGTTGCTGTGTTGCGGAAAGAGAGGGACAGATGGTGGAAAAGAAGAGAAGGTGCCCCTTCTTCAGGAAGACACAGAGAGTGATTTAGCTGAGGATGAGAGCGGAGGGGAAGAAGCCGATGGTATGGTGTTTGCCAGTATATAAAGAGTTTCCTTTACAGAAATAAGTCATGTATAGGTGTTGAGCACAAGAAGATGAGTTCAGATGCCAAAAAATGGTTAAAAAGGCAAGAATGTCACGTAAGACATGTAACTATAATGTATTGAGGCTGATTTCACTCTCTCGTGTGTTTCAGGAGTACATAGACAAGTTTCAACAACACGGCTACTGCAGTTTGTCCTACATTGCTTCCATGACAAGAAGGGTTTGTAAACTAAAAGGTTAGCTGGTCACTTCAATAATAAATTTCTGGATACTCTGCAGGAATTCAAAGCCATTGGTATAGATAAACTAGGCTTTGTACTGAGACTAGAGAAAGCAGCCAAGAAGCTTCCAGCCATGGTTATTGAGACAGATGTGCCAGTAAGTGTCATCTGTAGGTTAACCTTGTAGAAAATAGTCTTATTTCCTGTGTGAGTGCCCCAGTTGGCCAATTTTTTGTCTTTACTTATTTCTTCTTACTTATGTCTTCTATCCCATGGTACATGTGCATGTGTAAGTTACTTTTAGTTACATAAGGTCCTATGCATTATTCTACCTGCAGCCAACAGTGACAGACTGGCTAACGACCCTGGAGATGGAGGAGTACACTGAGGTGTTCCACAGAGCTGGCTATAAGACAGAGGAGGACATTGAGAATCTGAAAGAGATTGATGATAAGGAGCTCAAGAGAATGGGGATTGTAAAAATGGGTATGAAACATTGGCTTCATTCTGTGGCTATGATCTTACTGTCGATCTCCCTTGTGATCAGCTCATGTTCAGAGACTCAGAAAAGCTCTGGAGAGCCTGTTTCATCCCACATCAGGTAGGATAAGAGCTAGGTACACTTGGCTTCCCTCACTAACGGGTCCCCTGGCCCCTCATTCCTACTCCACTGTCCTTTTTGCTGCGTTTTTCACTTGTTACTTTGTTTAAAGTTTCCATCATAAATGCGTTTAGAGCCTTCCCAGGTTTTTTTAAAAATCACATGTCATTATAATCTTGCATAAGAAGTTTTCGTTTGGTATGGAGTGTGTGTGTCTGTATGTTTTTATTCTGCAGTTGAGATTCAGATCCACAAGGCCAAGAGAGACCTAAGCAGCATAGATCCAGCCCCAATTGACGGCAAGGACAGGGAAGCACAGTTCTGGCAGAATATCCTCAGCAATGAACTCAAACCAATCAAAGTCCGCCTGCAGCAAGCGAGCAAGGAAATAGGCCAGAAACTGAAGACCCTTCGAAACTCAACTCTGGCCCTCATGTTCCTCATCAACATCATGTGGATTATTCTCCTGTACACGGTCGAAGTGCCACAATTAGTGAAGTATGATCTGCCAGAGAGAACTTTCCACCTCTTGTTTCTCGCAGTCTATGGGTTCATTGTCCTGGTCTCCTTTGCGGCAATGCTGATCCATCGGTTCCTGATGTTGATACAGTTCCTCGGACGACCAGAGGTGTTTGATGAAGCAGTCCACACGCTGCAGAACAAGCACAGTTTGAGTGGATGAAAACGTATACACATAGACATTCACAATTCTTGGTAGGTGTGGAAGAAGATTATGTAATTACATGTATCGTCTAATTCAATTATGTTGTAGATACGTTCTCCTTTAGGAGTCGCGGAGCAGTTTGTGCATCTGCACTTCACCTGATCCGCGTAGCTTACCTACCCAAGTAGTTGTGCCTTTACTGCACTACATAAAGACAAGAAGGACCACGGGTAGCTAGCTATCACTGCACTGGTCTCCTGGGTCCTCTTCTGTATTGATGCTGTCACTCGACTAAGCCGATGACATCATGGATGAAAAAAATGACACACCAGCCATAATCTTCTTCTCTTGGTACCTACTCCCTCCTCCCCCTCTTCCCCCTGGCAGTCACCATTCCTGACCACAGCTAATGTGTGGTCTGGAGGAACAGACTCCAACACTACTGCTGAGGTCTGTGAAGGCCAACTGTAATGTTCAGGTACTCAAGATGGACAGAAATAATAACCTCACTGGGAAGGGAAACTTAAACAAAAGCCAATGAGTGAAGAACCTTTCTAATAACTTTTCTTACTCTAGTACAAAAATAATAGTTAGGTCATTAATTAAACTATGTCCAGAGAACGAAGAAGACTTCAGTATATAGCTCGCAGGTTAGTTTCATGATCCACAGCCAAGTCAGTGAGCTTATTGTGACAGATACTCACCTGTCTCCAACAATGTCCAATGTCGTCTGACTCTATATAATGATAATAATAACACATATTGTTACCCTTCTACTACAGTTGCCACTGCATGGACATGATGTACTGCTATGCCATTATGTGATTGTGGGGAAGAATGCTACAGTTGCTACATTGAAAGTGCAGCTCAGCACCTTTTCATAATAGTCAATAATGTGTGACCTTCACTATGGACTTCGCGAAGTGCAAACCCTGCGCATGCGCAGTACTGTTAAATTGATGGGCTGGGCTAAGAGTATGCGAAGAAAATTTACCAGACTCTCTCCTCCCCCGAGAGACAGTCTGTCTAGCGAGACTATTCGTTATGCATATTATTGGCTTTTTCGTTTGTTTTCACTGCATATCTCTCGAACGCAGTCGTTTCAGGAAAATCGCCAGGCTCTCTGAAGCTGTTGGTGTCGCTCATAGGTTTCCTCTTAGCCTGTAGTGCATACCTACCAACCATCCAGCTTTTTGCTTGATAATCAAGCAAAAATACTTCCCATCCCACCAGAAAATTGCCAAATCCCTCTTTTTTGTGCTTACCTGTGATGCACCATGCCTATGCATTTTGAATGGACACACCAGCATTTGCAAGCAAAAAACTCCAAATCAAGCAAATTTGACACATTTCTCAAGCAAAGGTTCATCTGCAGGTTAGTATATAGCTATGGTAGTGCCAGAATAAGCGTGGACATTTACACACACACACACACCATTTTTACACTTGTGAGTATCACTGGAGTAAAATACATCACCTATATAGAGTAACAAGCCCACTTCCCCCTTAGGAAATTCCATACCTATGACATCACAACTCCCTATAAATACCCCACAGTGCATTAGTAGAGCCATAGGATTGCAAGTCCCCCAGAGAGCCTAAGGTATGTGAATGTAACTACTTCAATACAGTACTGTAAGCTGTAGATTTTACACGAGAGTCTGTGACATTGGATGTGTGGGGAGAGTTGGCTAGCCATAAGGGATCTTTAACCCACCGTCCCCAGTTCTCAAGGCTGGGCATCCATGTCTTACTCTTGTGCTCGTATGTGTGGTATATACACACACATACTGTTTTGCTCTAACATTAGTACCTTGCTCTCCATGTTCCCTATTACTCCCATAACCTAGGTGCCCTCACAAATCATACAATAACATAGAGTAGAATAATAGCTCGATATTGCCCAATATATGTTCCCAAGTAGAGTAGAAGTGAGTCAACAGTTAATGATGCATACACTTTGGACCACTAGGCAGCCACACGCGGTGAGGTTGGCACACGCCTCCCACAAGCTAGGACTATCTTCCTTTTCTTCCCCCAATACCCAACACACACACACACTAATTAACAGCATGGGAAATTTTGACGTTAGTATACATACACATCCACAACAAGGTATAAAACAGCCAAGCTTGCCTGTAGTAGTCAGTTAGGAGCCAGAGTGAAGAAAGAAAGAAGTGAAGAATAGAGAAGACCAAAGAAATGAAGCAAGTTATTACTAAGGATACGTAGCTGGTATACTAAAATTGCCTTTATGTAATGTAGGTTAGTTTGTAAGTACGTAATTGTAGCCATGTAGTGGACTCCAACCAGGTGGAGTGGCCTCGCCCTTTCTGTAGTGTCTCACGTGTCAGGAGTTTAAAGAGGCCGAAATGCGTGTGACATAGTGAAAGATTGGGAACTCCCCTTGATGACCAGTAACAGCTGACACTGCACCTGCATGTGCTGGACTTGTGGATAGCGTTACATGTACATTTAAGCACCTGGCTGGCTGCAGCGTGGTGACGCAGACAAAAGCCCCCCACCCTCTCTCGTTAGCTTTAGTCCTACCTACACTTTACCTCTCTCTCTTCTTTCCCCAATCACAAACACACACACACCATTTTTACACTTGTGAGTATCACTGGAGTAAAATACATCACCCAGGACCCTAGAGTGACATCACAACTCCGTATAAATACTCCACTGTGCATTAGTAGAACCATAGGATTGCAAGTCCCCCAGAGAGCCTAAGGTATGTGATTGTAACTACTTCAATACAGTACTGTAAGCTGTAGATTTTGCACGAGAGTCTGTGACATTGGATGCGTGGAGAGAGTTGGCTAGCCATAAGGGATCTTTAACCCACCGTCCCCAGTTCTCAAGGCTGGGCATCCATGTCCTGCTCTTGTGTTTGTATGAGTGAGACTGTGTAACTACAATGTGATACGGCTAGGGCTGCACAAGCGCAAAACACTGAAGCAGAGTGGTAGCTACCCTGGTAAATCTAATAATACATGTAATTTTGACCACTGAGCTGCCGCGTGTAGCGAAGTTGACAAAAGTCTCCCAGCCTCTGGTCTTATTGTGTTTGTGTTTGGGTGCCGTGGGTCGCTACCACGTCCAGGTGTGCACCACCACTCCCTGCATGCTGTGCGACAGCACCGGGATCCTGGACACCATACGCAGTAAACTGGGCATAGAGGTTGGCGAAACGACAAAGGACGGTCTGTTTAGCCTCGTCGAGGTGGAGTACCCTGGGGCGTGCGTGAATGCCCCAATGGTGCAAATCAATGATAACTACTATGAGGATCTGAAACCCATAAGACATGGAGTGTATTCTGGATGAGTTGGCTGCTGGAAGACGGCCCAAGCCGGGACCTTATTCGAGTCGCCATGCAGCCGAGCCCATCACCGGACTCACCACTCTCACTGAGCCTCCAAAGGGACCTGGCTTTGGAGTTAGAGATGACTTGTAGCCCACTCTCACTTCACCATATGTGTTGTACTGTATCATAGTGTGCTCTGGCTTTGTTGTTATGATATCCTCTGAGTGTAGAACTTTTCATATGGACGTTAGGCTATCAGTCATGGTGCAGTGTTAAAAGTTTATTAGGTAAGGGTCCACATGCGTATGGTTTATGGCCCATGCATGATCATGAGACACTAAGATGAAGATAGCTAACTGCTATTGTAGCAGTGAAAAAATACACTTCTGACCAAAATGGTTGTAGCTAGCTTTAAACCCAACCAATGACGAATCGTATAGTGTCGCTCTGCCACGTCACGTACTAGTGGATTGCTTTTGTCTGGAGTGTTCATCGCAGCTCATGCACAAACTCTGGTTGGGTACCAGAGTTTGTTGCCAAAGGATTGAGTGTCTGCGGTAGTTATGGTTTTCTTGATAGTAAAACCTTTCTTTATGGTGTAAAGTGTTCATTCCGGTAAGTTACTCCAAAAAAGGCAAAGGAAGCTCAAAATCAGAGCCGTTTTTCTGTGCATCATCGTGATATTGGGTCTGTAGCTACCAGGGAGCTATATACTCCAAAGGAAATGCAATTCAATGTCTGGTTATGAAGAGATGGTAGCTACGTATTATGGTAGCGACATTTTCCGTTCATGTTATAGCCCCAGAGGAGGTTGCGCACAATATTCCTATGCTGTCCGCGCATGCGGTTATAATGTAATCAAGTATCGTAGCTGCGAAAGGAAGTGGCTCTAGCTGGTGTTCAGGTGGGCCAAAACCATAGTTGCCAACTTTTCCAGAGGACAATCCGGGACAGCTTATAAAAAGGACACGCCCAGTTATTACGTAAAATAACGCGCGAATATATAGCCATTTTGCGCCTGCTGCGCGTGCGCGTACTACGTACTGTGTTGATGCGCGCAGCATAATATAGCCAGCCCCCGTGTTCACATGCAACGCAGAGCCTCGCGCGGAGGGCCAAAGCTAGTTAAACTTACCAAGAAACTGTGACTAAAGGTGTACGGTTTGAACTATAAAATGGTCACTTAGCTTATAAATTCCGGGACATTATTGCTATTTTGCCTCGACCAGGACACCGCCGGGACAAGGCCCAAACTTCCGGGACTGCCCAGGCAATTCCGGGACGGTTGGCAACTATGCAAAACCTTGCTATCTCTCGATTGTCCAAGTGTGTATATACCACAGGGGCGGATCCAGGATTATTTTGGGAGGGGGCAACGGCTGCGCATGCGCAAACATTACCGGAAGAAATGTTTCACTTCTCTTTTGCCGGAACCACATTCGTCGAGATTGCCGCTAGAGCATTTCATAGCTAGCTAAGTGATATACAACACGCGTAGCCACAATCGCGAGAGCTAGAGAGAGCAGCCTTGCGCGAGCAGGCGCTGAGCTAAGCGCCGTCATGTAGCCAAGGAACAACCTTATAGCGCATGTTGTACAAGCTAGAATCCGATCCAGGAAAAACGTTGCTTGCTGTTGGCGCGGCAGCGCAAGAGAGAGCGCTTGAGTTCGAGCGCGCGTGCGTGCATAGTAACAGCGGGGGTCAGGGCAACATTATGTCATACAGACCTGACGAGGGGGGGGCGGGGGGGGTCCCCATGACTGGATCCGCCCCTGTACCACGGAGAACACTCGTAGCC